GAGATGTTTACAATTGTTTGTATATTTTTATTTTACATGTACTCGTACTTGTTTATTAGTATATGATAAACAAGGATGGACTATTTCCTCATAGGTCTCGTAATTTTCCCCCGCATAAGAAATCAGGGATCTGCTTTTGTTTCAGTATATATACATGTGTTTCTTTAGTTATACTATAGTGTAACGAAAAGTAAAAATATAGATCTCAAAGATTTTTTTATTTGCAGTTCAGATTGATATTACGCTTCCGTAATTATCTTGCATGATTAATGGTCTGTTGGCTTTAAAAATGCGTTACTGGGAATGTGTGAAGTTGCTAAATTGACTATGTAAATAAACAAATAAAGTGTAAAATTTACCGTTTAAAGTGTAAATTTTACAGATAAAAGTATAAAATTTACAGATTAAAGTGTAAAATTTACAGATTAAAGTGTAAATTTTACAGATTAAAGTGTAAAATTTACACTTTAAAGTGTAAAATTTACAGATTAATGTGTAAAATTCACAGAATAAAGTGTAAAATTTACAGATTAAAGTGTAAAATTTACAGATTAAAATGTAAAATTTACAGATTAAAGTTTAAATTTTACAGATTAAAGTGTAAAATTTACAGATTAAAGTGCAAAATTTACAGATTAAAGTGTAAAATTTACAGATTAAAGTGTAAAATTTACAGATTAAAGTGTAAAATTTACAGATTAAAGTGTAAAATTTACACTTTAAAGTGTAAAATTTACAGATTAATGTATAAAAATTAAAGATTCAAGTGTAAAATTTACAGATTAAGTGTAAAATTTACACTTTAAAGTGTAAAATTTACAGATTAATGTGTAAAATTTACAGATTAAAGTGTAAAATTTACACTTTAAAGTGTAAAATTTACAGATTAATGTGTAAAATTTACACTTTAAAGTGTAAAATTTAAAGTGTAAAATTTACAGATTAAAGTGTAAAAATTGCACTTTAAAGTGTAAAATTTGCACTTTAAAGTGTAAAATTTGCACTTTAAAGTGTAAAATGTACACTTTGAAGTGTAAAATGTACACTTTAAAGTGTAAAATTTACAGATTAAAGTGTAGATTTTACACTTTAAAGTGTAAATTTTACGGATTAATGTGTAAAATTTACAGATTAAAGTGTAAATTTTACAGATTAAAGTGTAAAATTTACAGATTAAAGTGTAGAAATTAAAAAAAAGTGAAGTGTTCAAGTGGCACTAATACGCTTCCGTAAGAAGTATATATCGGAAGTGATAAATATTTTGAGAAGCGAGGAGTGTGAAATATTTTATAGGTGAATATTTTCTTTTTTTTTCAAAATCTTTCTAAGATTTTTTTTCACAATGAAGTTAAGGACTGTAAGACTCGTGAAGTAGAAACACTGGATTCAAAAAATATATTGATGAAATTAATATCATTATATAAGAGACCTAGATTACTTACGGCGGATACTTATTAGGATAGTTGGGTGTGCTGGCGAACTTCGGAAACTGTTCAGCAATCAATACCAAAGGTCCTGGTGGACATCGCTGTTGACAAATTACTGAGAACAAAATACAAAAATAAAAATATCATGATAAGGGCAATAAAAGTATGTGCCATGAGATCTAATGACAGATATACTTGTCATGCAACAGAATTAATTAATATCAAAAACATTTCTGATCAAATAAAGTAAATGGTTAGTTTCTTCGAGAAAAAACAAGTTAGTCTTCATTTCGAATTCGTAAAACTTGAATTAAGAAAATTGGAAAACATTATGCTAACAAAACATTAACTTATAAAATGATACCAAAATACTTCTTTTCCTTTGAATACTAGAATACGCCGGGAGTTAGATATTATATATAGGTAAAGAAATAATTTCTTACTTATTTTTATGTTAAATGCCATTAATATCCAAGTAACAAGAGTTAGGTATCGTCTTTTATTTGAGCATCCATCGGCCATAACACGTCTATAAACAAAATATATTAGTGATCTTAATCACAAAACCAAAAAAAACGTGTATCGATTACTTGTAGAAAATAATTCAATGATAATAAAAAAAAAGTAGGTGACGGGTCTAAATATATACCTGGGTATTTTTTAAGATATGTCGTTTTTAAATGTTTTTGTCAGTAACTCTATCATATTTTTATTATTTAATCAGTGTTTAATGCTCTAAGAAAAAAAACATTTTGAAAATTACAGACCAAAATAATCTGATTTACAAGTATGCCATAAATATGTTATGTTTAAGTTCTTTTTTACAATGTTTAAACTCTAATGATTTATCGTATATTTTATGTAGAAGTTTTAATTTTCAGAGAGAAATAACGGTCCGAAATGGATTGTGCATAATTGTGATACAGTATTCGAATTTACTGGCCATGTTTTAGTGCAAGGATTCCTAGCATTGGAAACACATATATAAAAGTGCATTTGTCTTTCAAAAAAAAAATTAAAATCTTAAGAAGATAGGCAGTATAACAGCATATTTAATGAAGGAAATTACTTAAACCTTTACTTCATGTTTGGCAATGACACTTTTTTTCAAGATCTAGAACAATTATTGATAGTCACGATTTAAACCTACATATGTCTTACTATAGAAATCAGGTTGTAATCAATATCATTCGGCTCTATTTACTCAGTCCACAATACTTAAAACTCAAAAGAATTAAAATCTCTTCCTCGTGTTTAAAACACGATCATGTATGCATATGATTAGCACATGTCATTATAGTTTGCGTCCCACTTCTTAAACCAGATTTGCTTGATATGTTGTAAAACTGCAGATTAGTATCTGTTCCAAGGCATGTAAATAACATGCATAGATACACTATAGTACATGAGGTCCCACTTCCTAGAAATAGCATATTTAAAATATTAACTTATATAAACAACGATTATGCTAGAAACACATTGATTTAAACTCACGATTTTTTGGGGGCAGAAAATGACATCGTATTAAAAATATAGCATGAATTATTATTAGGATTGCTAATGCGAGATTTCAATATTTCTTTCTTTTTTCTGTTTATTATTTCAAATGGTAGGAAGTATTTAACTATGACAAATACACCTCACGTTTTAGCTTTCACGTTTATAGTATTTTAAAGTCCCTCATAAAAAGCTGAAGTATTTATATCCTAGCCAAGTCTACCTAGTTTGAACAGTTAATTCTTACCTGGCTTCACCATTTAGAATTCTTTGGATGATCTATCCCTCTGGACCAGACATGTTCCCCAGTAGCAACATATCTTCAGGAAGTCTTAGTTCTGGTTTTCAGTCCTTGTTTCAGTGAACAAGAAGACTCGGTTTACCTTGCCGATGACCCGGAGATTTTTTAGAGTTCCGGGTGAACAACTCTTCTGCGCATATTCAGAAATCTGATCTGTCATGGAGGTTTAAAATTTAAATGTCTGCTTTTGTTCGATATTTGTGTACCCTTGACGAAATATGTAGAATAAAATCGATATCAAATGCTTAAATCGTTTCTTTAGGATAAAGGAGAATGTTTTTACCGGATGCTAACCCCTGTAATCGGTGTTTCAGTTGGTTGTCATCTTCATCAATACAGGAGAGATGCTGGCAGTATTAGAGGTCGAGACATTGATTCTAGACCAATAATACCATGGTGTCTCTGTTTGTATTATTTCACTAGATGCCTCTATTATTTAGTTCAGTACTCTTGTACTTAAAACGTGCATGATACAGTCTATAAACTGACTGCATTCAGACCAGATTTTTCTTGATATTATTGAAAATATATCCTTACAATGAAAGTTAAGTCTAAAAGCATGGTTATATGTACTTTACCATATAAGTAAAATTTTAGCAAGACTCGTATTAAGCGATTTAGCCCTACAAACTGATAAATAATTCTAGCAAGAAGTAAGTTTCGCGATTTTACAATATATTGCAAGGTAGCTTTTAACTCATCAGTGCTTAATGAATAATTGGCGATATACAATTTTAGCGATCTCAATACATTCGCAAATAATGCCAAAATTGAATTCTACTTACATGGTATATAAAATATATCTACTTCAAAAATGTTGTTGGCTTAATTTAAGCAATGACAACGATGTTGTAATATTATACAACTAAAAAAACAGCAACAAAACTTTTGACTCAATGAATCTTAACCAAGAAATATTCATATCAGGAATGTTTGAAAAATTTAAATATTTTACAAGATTACTTTGTGGACATTACGGATATACAGATATAAGTCTTAAATTTTTAAATTTAACAATTAAAATACTATTTATGTTTGCTATTTCAAAATAATTTAGCATTTAGCATGTCTGGTCTTCTAGAAATATAGAAATAACGTACAATATTTAAGATCAAAAGTCAATGTAGATTAAACAAATTAGAAAAAGAGCAAACAGGGACTTGTAAAACTTTAGAGCAGGGATCAGATGCCAAAGGGATTTAATCATTCATTGCCAACTGGTCAAATTCGCCGTGTGCTCTTTGTCATGATCGAGAAAACGGGAAAATTGTAGACATTTAAGGGCGTAATAAAATGGCCTAACAATAGGAATGTAACCGTCAGTCAGCGTTTGGCATAATAAAGATTGCATTTGCTGACAAGGTCTTTATATCGACCATAAAACTTGCAAAATGATGACTTTAAAGGAGTCTAGTTCATTAACTTCTTTATCAATATCTTATCTCGTTTTATAGAAATTTTTCGTATGTACAACTTCTTGCGTATCGAATCAACAGGGAAATATGGGGAAAGCAATATACAGGTGATAAGGATATATTGCTTCACACAAAAGGGAAGTTGACGATAGAAAAATTGAAGTCATCATGGTTATCATAATGTTTTTTTTGTTCTGTAAGATAACCGTAAATATCTTTTTCTTGAAAACATCTTAATATAAAACAGCTCTGTCAGACTTAGTAATATCTTTTATTTCAAGTTCTTTTGGATATATCCACCAGTCGATATACGAATGGAAGTAACTATTGTAAATAGATAGCACCTCGTCGATATACTGTATGTCGAGTTGAAGACCACAGCAAGTATTTGGGGGTCATGTGGTTGGGGGCTAAATAGATGTTGCTTCATGTGAATACAAAAAATAAGCCTGTAAGTAACGGGCGAAATTGATACCCATGGGGATTCCAATAGATTTTTGGAAGACCTGATTTCCGAAAACTGCATATATATTGTCAATAAGAAACTCAAACTTCTTTTTAATATCAATTTCAGAGTACTCGTGTTTTCAATCAAAATGTTTTTAAAAATGAATTTTTCAAATGACCAGTGACAAGAGTAAAATTATGAGTTCTATTTAAAACTGTGTTTGATGTCACAAAGTCGGGACTGTATTTATCGTGGGGAATAATCGTATAAGGTGTTGAAAAGTCTTACCTCTTGATTTTATTAATTGTGGTGAAAAAAAGTTTTGAAGTACTAGTATCCATATCTTATTTTCACCACTTCTTTAATATACTGTTGCACAGTTCTCCTGAAGTTTCTCCTTCATAACTGTTAATTAATATTTTAGAGAGGAGCAAAGCAAGAGGCTAGTTAAAACTTTTACTGGAATCCGCTAAACTAGTATATCTTTATTTGTAAAGAAATTTGTAAAATTGAGGATTGCAGTATTGGTATCGTACTTAAATTCATTCTGATTTATTGGAATATTAAAAGTATTTAAAACTGACACATTATTTTGTAGAAATTCTTCCTTAGAAAGAGAGCTATGAGTAGAGCTTAGAGTAAAATCTGTGGCTTTTAATCCCAGTTCTAAATTACAATTTAAATACTGAGTAATGAACCCTGCAAACAAAGACATTGTCATTTCCTACTTCGTCAGCTGGGACCAGAACTTACAGATCATCTTATATATATCTAGATCTTTTTCCTTTCTGAATTATTAAGATCAGAAGCTGGTTTTCACATTACCCCACTATCGCTTAAAGGGTTATTAACTTCTTCTTATTCTTTGAAAAAAATACAAAATATTGCACTAAAGCTAAATTATTTCTTTGATTATGTCACTATATTATTATATATTGACAACTTGATCAATAGTACTGGATGGAGACTACTATAATATGTATGATTTATGATTAAACCACGCTGATATGATTGTTTTTTGCTTTGGATATTTAGATGAGCTGTAAACAAGGAACTTGTCACAATTCTTTAACAAAGTTTGTATCTTGTAATGCAATGTAAATGTGAAAAAAACGCGTTCACTAACATTTATTTAATGTATAATGGCTTATTTACGCTCATAACAAGTTAATAAAATAATTATTCCATATTCTCGTCATTAAGCCAATTACATGAATTATGTATGCTGCCATACTTATAATCATTGATCTTGAGTAACTTGTCCTAACTATTACTGAACATGCAGCTTCTATCATCTATCTATTCCTCTAACTTTACATGCATGTCTGTAATTTGATAATTTGAAAAAAAAATGCTATGGCTTCTAGTGATCAAAGTATCACCGAAACAGAATTAAAGAAAATTTCAGATTTTTTTTTAAAAGATGCTGGTAAAAATGGGGAAAATGGATATTGTAGTATCTAATGAACCCTTGAATAGTTTTAGAAACAAGTATTGTGGTGTTTATTCTTTTTCCACATTAAAAAAAAAATACAGTCTGATTTCGGTGTGTGTGTGTGATTTTCTGACCTCATTAAAAATTCGAAACCGAAGCAATCTTTTTTCTGCTATATTAAAATATTTCAGCATTAAACAAAAAGGACGTTTTGATAATAGTCTTCTAGCTTTGCAATAAAATAAGAAATATCTGAGAGAAGTGGCTATCATGTTTCTTTATGGGTATTTGAATAGAAATGCTACCTCTACAACCATTTTGCTTCCATTCAAGTGAAATAGGGTATATATAGTCTGTATTCGTGATATTTGGTCACGAGAGTATATAGGTAATCGTTCGAGATTATAACCCCATACAAAGACTTATATGTACAAAGTCTGAATTGGGCATTTAAAAACCCTGAACCTATAGAAATGATCCAACAGTCATGGCCAGAAGACTTCAATCTCCATTCTTACATATGTTCTAAATATAATCAATTTGGCTTTTACATATACGATAAGAATAAAATAGATATATTACTACTTCTCCCCAAGTAATATTTCTTTATTTTTATTTATTTTATTTATTTATTTATTTTTATGGTCAGAAAATATCTTTTCATGCAAAGATTCATTATTATTCATATAAATGCACAGAAAATTAATTCATTATTCTTTACAAAGATATCATAGAATATTGTCTTTCACTAATTATAATTTTTTCCATTACCACTGAATTAATTAATTGATTTGTCATGTGTTTACTGACAATTAACATTGTTGTTTAGGGAACATAACAAGGAAAGGTAACTCGAAAATCAATATTTTGCAGAAAAGATCCATTAGTATAATTCTTACTTCCGAATATGGATTGTGATACCGTATTTCATATGATTTCTAAGCAACAACATAAATATTTACTAATTCTAATCGAAGAAGGAATTAATGTTCTCATTACGTCTGGCATCTCTTGGTTCACGAACAAAATATACCAGCAGTACCTTATATATATATATATATATATATATATATATATATATATATATATATATATATATATAAAGAAAATAACGAGTTATAATCAATTTCAGCACAAATTTGAATCTTGAATGGGGCAAAACATGGACCACTGTGGGATCAGGTGCCTGGAAGGAGTAAACGCCCCTTGTTGATTCACTCCGATCCTGGGACCCGTTTTACAAAAGAACTTACGACTACGACCAAAATCGATTCTATTTTACATTTATTTGAAAATGATTTTAGTATTTTTTAAAAGAAATTATCAAGTTATGTTTATTATGCTGGCGATTTCAAACAGAATAATGAATTCTGCACAAATAAACTAACTTTTATGGTCTTAGTTGTAAGTTCATTTTTAAAACGGGCCCCTGAGTCTTACGTACTGACCAGGGAAACGGGGTACAGCGTTGTCAAAGAATTTATAATTTAAAACAATGGTCTATTAAATGTTAGGAACACGTGTCAGACAAACTAGGACCGTACAATTTGCTAAAACTGCTTTTATCTATAAGTAAGTTGTTGAAAACTATTTGTCTAGCTTTAAATATTTATCGTTCTCAGGACATTTCTGCGTTCACTCAGAGCATTTTTTTCGAATCAGTCAAGAGACACGAGTAAAAGCTGGCCATCCCACTTGTCATAGTTTATGATAGGTATTTGTTGGTAAGCGTAGGCGTCACAAACCATTTTAACCATTATTCATAGCAAAAGTTTATTTGCTAACAATCATATTTATCAATTATTTTTAGTGTGTTTTTAAACATTGTTTTAATGTATATTTAATTTACTAGTATTTAAGTGTACATGCATCAAATAATGATCATATTCAGAAAACGCGTGATTCGATTCAGTTTGGAGATATAAAATACATGAAGAAATATTGCAACAAAAATTAAGGACTTGGCGATGAAAACTATCATTTTTAATCAGTCAAACATCCAAATACTGGTAAGAAGTAGATGTGACAAATTTAGTGTGTTTCTATTCAGGTTACTAGAATATATCGAGCCCACATATGAATGAAATTAACTCTTGTAAAGATGAAGGCCTCAGCAAGATTTTCTTCTATCAAGATGTTTCTGAATAAATTTTCATTTACATTTTATAGGGCTCGTCGGGATTCCTTCAGATTGTTGGAGGAGCTGATCTCCACATTCAACATAGATATCGGTGATGAGAAACGCCGGCTGTTTTTTATTACTTTCAGTATCAACATCAACTTTATGTTGAATCTTCATAGACTCTTGAAAGATTTTTTTTTTAAATATTTCGTGAGATACGATTGCAGGAAGAGTAGAAATCTGTATTTTTTATGATATCAATGATTGAAAAAAATTTAAAATTTTCCGAAAGTTCTCAGTTTGTTGATTATTTAGTATCAACATGCACCTGATTTACACTGCTTCTTGAATTTGTTGGGGTATAAGATATATCACTGTTAGCTACTTATTTACTCAGTTACTGTCGAGCAAACATTTTATTTAACCCAAAGTCTGTTAAAGCATATATTTACATATGAAATTCTCAACAGATGGGATTTCAGTTATATCTTTGTTCCTGAGAGTGATTTTTTTTTTATTTAATAACAAAGTGATTAAATGGGAAAAATTGTTTATAAAGCAAATGCTGCGTCTTCAATAAAAATGGAATTCGTAAATTTACTTATTTCGTCATTGGTCATTTGCTAAATTATTTTGTTTAAAAACATTCTAATTGTACACACAAGTACTCTGAAGTTGGTTTTAAAAAGATGCTTAAGTTTCCCATTGCCAATTTATATGTGGTTTTTAGAGCAGGTCTTCGAAGACTCTATTTGAATTCCTATGAGTACCAACTGCGCTATTAGCAGATTTATTTTGTATTCATAAGAAGCAGAATTTGTCCAAAGTCTTATACGCGAAAAGAAGAAAACACTTGCTGTGACCATCAGCTCGACATTAGATATATCATCGACTTATTGCCAATTAACAATAGTTATGTCTATTCACATGTCCATACGATATATCTCGGTGAGCTTGAAAAAAGCACATGCTCTGACACACCTGTTTAAATATTTGGATATTTTACTTGAATAAGACATACATGTAAATGGTAATCTTACAACCACGCTTTATGATAAACGTGATGACTTTAATTTTTCAATGTCATTTACCTTACTTATGCAGTAATATACCTTCATCATCTACAAACGGGGTTTATATCTCTCAGTTGATTCGATACGCAAGAGCATGCTCTGCATATATGTACAATTTCTAAAACGAGGTAAATTATTGAAAAACAAGTTGATGAAACAAGAATATTAACAGTTTCGTTTAAAGTCATCAAATGATTCTATGGTCGATACAATGACCTTGTCAGCAAATACAATTTATCACTGAGTCAAATGATGACTGATGTTTTTCATAGTAAATTTTAGGTGATTATTAAAACACTGAATTGTCGACGTATTTTTCCTTCACTTCCCGATTATGACAAGGACCACACGGCGCATGTGACCGGTCGGCAGGTATACTCACTCCTTCATGGCACCTGATCCCACCTCTGATGTTTTTGAGATCCGTGTTTGCTCTGCTCCGAGTTTGTATTGTTAAATAACTGTTGAGCTTGAATATATACTGTGCGTTATCTCCATAATCTATGCTTCATGCATTCTTCAAAAGTCAAGGTACCGGTCACGGTAGCCTAGTGGTAGACCGTTCGCTTCGTGATCGGGAGGCCCGGGTTCGATTCTCGATCGCGGCGCCGCGTCATACATAAGACGTAAACAAAGGTAGTGATTGTTCCTTCGCCAAGAGGTAGTGATTGTTCCTTCGCCAAGCGCTCGGCACTAGAAATGAAAGTCACGGGTCTTTCGGATATGACCTTAAAAACGTAGGTCCCGTGTCACGGTGGGCGCTGGCACGATAAAGAACCCTCACTGCTCAATGGCCCTGAGTGCCGAGTATAGATCAAAATTTGAAGCCCTTCACCGGCATACGGTGACTTCTCCATATGAGTGAAAAATTCTCAAGAGGGACGTTAAACAATATACAATCAATCAATCAATCAAAAGTCAAGGCATTAGGGAAAATATACAGAAACTTGATAACTTTTAAGATTTTGTGAAACGAAAATTAATTAGCAAATTGTCTCCCAGACAATGTCAGCGAAGCCTTTTATTTTATTTTTTTTCGTTTGGGAAATGAAACAAATGAATACGTGCGAGAAAGTCAATTGAATTCTTCAGGGAAGTTTGCATTTAAATTCAAATTTTGCTGAATCAAAATGTTCATTAGAAAAAAAAAAGGGAAAAAATTCAAAAATAAATTAAATCTATTTTAAGTGAAATTTGCAAAAAAGAATGGTGAAACAGAGGTTCGAATTCTCGGCCGTGATTCGAACATCTTCTGATCGCGATCCGCGAGCGCATATTGATTAACTTTGAGTGGGTGAGACATAAAGTATGCCCACTAGAACTCGTGTATTGACTATATTATTATCTGTGTCCGTTGCATCTAGGGATTCATGCTAACATGGAAACTATATTATAAAACGAATGTATATGCTTAATCATATACATGTACATGGGTTAGAACCTCGGCCTCGAATAACCTAAGTCGATAAAAAATAGATAGCAACTGTTCCTTCACCAAGCGCTCGAAACTTTGAAGTGAAGGCTGGAGGTTATTCCTACGAGAACTTAATATTAAGGATCCGAAGCATTGAACGATAAAGAACTCTCACTTTTCCATGGCCCTGAGTGCCAAGCAAAGATCTCAGTTTGAAGTGCTTGATTGGTATACGGCGATATCTCTCTATATTAGTTTAAAAATCTCGAATGAGACAACTAACATACAATCATTGTTCACAGTCTAAGTACAGGGAATACTTGCTCGCCCTTTCCGATTTCTTACTCAGGCGGATGTTGCAAGTGCATAACTTTTTAACAAACTATCATACAGTATATGCACTTCTTGTTTGATTTTAGTTTACAACAGATAGGGACGAACAAGGATTTAGGAGAACTCGGAGAGGGAAAAAACGCTAGGTAGGCTTTAGGGGGTTAAAGGTTAATGTATTGAAATTCAGAAGATATTTTCTTTGCAACTCTAAATAGTTTTCAAATTCTTGCAGATTTGTTGGAAATGAATGAACTTTACATTGAGTATGAGAGACCTTCCTGAGAACAACTTGCTGTCAATAATTTTTTTAAACATACTTTTATGTGCCGAAAGATGTATCATTACCATACATAAAATATTTTTAATCAATATTTTAATTTTAGCATGAAGACACCTGGTTATTTTCTTTTGGTATTGTGTGGGGTGTTTTCTGTTGAATCAGGGGATACAGGTGAGCTAAAGCACATTGGTATTACAGTATGGGCGACAGTGAGCCAAAGAGTCATCTTTATCTTTATAAGTGTGATCTAATTCAGTCTCAATTTAAAAAATGTCATTTTTCGACCCCCATTTGACCACCCGGGGCAAAATCAAAATTCCGAAACCTTACTGCACATCTACATGACACCACCAACCATTTCCCTAAAGATGATTAGGCTACCATGTAAAATGTAGGAGGAGTTCAGGGAAGACGGGAATTTTTGCATAAAAATTTCATTTTTCGAACCCCATTTCACCCCCCGGGGTAAAATCAAAATTCCGAAACCTTACTGTACATCTACATGACACCACCAACCATCTCCCAAAAGATGATTAGGCTACTGAGTAAAATGTAGGAGGAGTTCAGGGAAGACGGGGATTTTTGCATAAAATATGAATTTTTCGACCCCCATTTGACCCCCCGGGGCAAAATCAAAATTCCGAAACCTTACTGCACATCTACATGATACCACCAACCATCTCTCTAAAAGTGATTAGGCTACTATGTAAAATGTAGGAAGAGTTCGGGGAAGAAGGGGCTTTTTGCATAAAAAAAACATTTTTCGACCTCCAGTTGACCCCCCGGGGAAAAATCAAAATTCCGAAACCTTACTGCACATCTACATGACACCACCAACCATCTCCCAAAAGATGATTAGGCTACTGTGTAAAATAAAGGAGGAGTTCAGGGAAGAAAAGTGTAATGGAAACCTTACTGCACATCTACATGACACCACCAACCATCTCCCAAAAGATGATTAGGCTACTGTGTAAAATATAGGAGGAGTTAGGGAAGAAAATATACCGGACGAGGTTTCTATAGAAAGTGCGGGTATAAAAAAGGGAACAATCTACTACTCAAAGGCATGCATTGTATACGCTTTCAAAACATTTATCGAATTGCGCGAATATAACACTCGCGATATCACGTGACAAAGAAAAACAGGCGAAAGTTTTTACCTCTATACACTACTTTCCTCTTCGTAAGAATTTTTTTTTCTTACATATTCTCCAAGTAATAATTGAGAAATATAAGTTTCAAATATATATTATGAATGTATATATTTTCTGTAATCATAAATTTGATGTTTAAACTGAATTTTGCCATTAGAAGATTAAAATTACTATCATCTAAAAAGTGAATAATACATGTATTACAATTGCATCAATGATTTTCCATTAGAAGTAGAATTTTTCTGTATGAATGATTTATTTTTAAAAATATTTCAGGAAAAAAAATAAATTGCCGTTTTCTAAGAATTCAACATTGCAAAATCCCTGTGCATTGATGACTCTCATAAATCAAAGATTGCATGCAGTTTAATAAACCTCCCTCTCGCAGCACTGAAAAAAAAAGATCCAGTGGGTGTTATTTTTATTAAAGATTATTGGCAGTGTTTTTTTTTTAAATTTAGAAACCGATTATTGCCAAAAACTAAACGGCGATCAATGTGCCTTGTCTGGTAAATGGAAAAATCAGCTCAAGTCGGAGATGGAAATTATTTGCAAAGACGGAACCATCTCGGGCAAGTATACCAGCGCCGTGGGGCAGGCTTCGAAGGAGTATGACTTGATGGGGAGGTATACACAGGTCAATGACAAGGACTACATGTTAGGGTGGTCAGTGGCTTGGAAAAACAAGTACCAAGATGCCAAGTCCGTGACTAGCTGGACGGGCGTATTTTACGCCGCGGAGGGAGTGATTAGGACCCAGTGGATACTCGGTCGCTTCGAAGATCCGGACGATTTCTGGGAGACGTTCATCACAAACCAAGACACTTTTACCAAAATTAGCCAGTGTTAAATTTCTATGCTGTCAGATTTCAAACAGATGAATGAAAGTGTACGTCGTTGACTATGCCTGATCACTGTAGCTTAATAATGCATGTACATGTATGTGTCCTATAGCTAGGTATACAGTTCTTCCTCAGAGTGCTTTCCTAAATTTAATTTTAGCCAGGGTTATCTTATCCCTTCGAAGATAAAAATTAAACTGAAGTAAATCAGAAAAATGTTCTTTGAGTTTTAAATGTACACATGATAAACAACAGGAAAATGTTTTGTTGTCCCTCGATATTTCCATTTCTAATTTTTTTTCTCTGTGATAACTCTTTGAGAGTTAGGGGACCTTTATTTCTATGTATAATTCTGCTGGAATGTAAATTAGGCAGGTCTTAAAAAATAAAAAGTTCAGTGTGCTAAGGAGGCTCAATTAATATAACGCATGCAAATCACGTGCGCATCTGTCTCTGTGTCTGACGCTAAGGAGGCCAAATATGCATGTAAATCTCGTGCGGCTACCTTTGTGTTTGACAAAAGCGGGCGAGAACTATTGAAATAGGCATGGAAGTCCTCGTGTAATTTAAATCTATTAGTCTACATTTTTAAAGCTTCGCCCGTTATGCAAATTATCCCATGTTTCCCACTATCGTTGATGCCCTGGTATACTACACTAACTAGACAGTGACTCCTTAATTAAATAAGAGGAAGAAAGTCAGCATTTAATACGCATAAACGAGCTTTCAGGGCGAAGACAGGAAGGTCGCTCAAGGCAGTTTAACCTTTATTTCTATGTATAAGTCTGTTTGAATGGGACCTTGAGGCTGAACCTTTTCCTTAAAAAATAAAAAGTTGAGGGTGTGTTTAAATAGGAAACCTTTTTCTAGTAAAATAACCAATATATCTTGTCTACATATACATGTACAGATTGTATATGAATGAAAATAACTTTTGTTATTTGTTAATAATTTAATTTTGGTTGTAACGCGTCATTAAATTTTGATTGGATAAAAAAATAATCTAAATTGTTTATTCATCTGGTTTGCCTACATGACAATGACGTACGTCAAAAACGCATCAATCCGCGTGACGTTACAATTAAAATATGAACAATTTGAAGGTGTTAATTTTTAAGGGAAAAATTGAATTGTTTTATATACTTAGGGATTGAAAATTAAACTACTAGTATACGGAATGATTTAAATAGCAACCCAAATTATACTGCTATAAACTGGGTTGGAGCAGTTTACGTTTTTTTTATTTATAAAGCGTAAACTGCCCCAACCCAGGTTATACAGTATAATTTGGGTTGCTATTTAATTCATTCCTTAAATACGTACGTCATTCTGTATATATATAAATATCGCGTTCGAGGCTACGGCAAGTGTTTTCTTCTAATTATGAGATTTGAAAAAATTTGCTTCATATAAATACAAAAATAGGTCTGCTTATAACGGGAAGCAGTTGGTACCAATGGGTGACCACAGTAAACCAAATAGATATTGTCGATTAGAAACTCGTGCATTGTTTTCAAAAAGGATATGGAGATAACGAACAGTATTCAATATCAAAGTCCATAAAACCATACAAAATAGAAGCAGAACAAACGGACCTCTAAAACAAGGTGGGATCAGGTGCCATGGAGGAGGAGCATCTCCTGCTGACCGGTCACACCCGCCGTGTGCTCCTTGTCATGATCGGGAAATAACGGTATATAATCTATCGTCAATTCAGTGAATAAATAATGGACTACTGATTAGTATAAAAAACGTCAGTCAGCATTTGAATCAATGATAAATTGTATTTGCTGACAAGGTCATTGTATCGACTTTACAAACTTACAAAATGATGACTTTAAACGAGACCGCTGATATTCTTGTTTCATCAACTTGTTTGTCAATAACTTACCTCGTTTTGGAAACTGTTCATACGTAAAGCATGCTCCTGCGTATCGAATCAACTGAGACATATAAACCCAGTATGCAGGCGTTTATGCATAAAATTATCACGCAAGCCAATCGATTGATCATCTTCATGAAATTGAAAAATCTGACAGTTATTCCTTATATTTGCATGCTTTGATTCCGCCAATCCACGTGCTCCAAGCCCTGCTTCTGTCTAGCTGTTTGTCCCGCCCTGCACGTAGTTTTTTTGGAACCGCGCAAATGCATTGATGGAGAAATAAAGTACATTTACATTTGGTAATTTTATCTCGGACAAAGACATTGGAAATGTAAATATTGTTGCATACGTAAGGGAAGTTGACGATTGAAAAGTTAAAGTCATCACATTTATCATAGAGCTTGATTGCTAGATTACCATTAGCGTCTTATTCTAGAAAAAATATCCAAAAATGAAACAGATACGTCAGACTCTGTGGTATCTACTATCTCAAGCTCACCGGGATATATACTGTATCGTATCGACAAGTGAATGGAAATAACCATTGTTAATTGACATTACGTCGTCGATATATCTAAATGTCGAATAGAAGGCCACAACAAGTGTTTTCTTCTTTTCACGTATAAGATTTTGCACAAATTCTGCTTCATAGGAATACATAAATAGATCTTTTAATAACGGGGCGAAATTGATACCCGTGGAAATTCCAATAGATTGTTGGAAAACTGGTCTCCCTAAACCATACCGATATTGTCAATCATAAATTCGAGTATCTTTTAATATCAACATCAGAGTGTTTATTTTTTATAAAGTAATTTTGCAAATCACCATTGACAAGGTAAGTAAATTTACGAATTCCATTTTTATTGAAATACAGCTGTCAATGATGTCAGAAAGCCTGGACTATATAATTTATCATGGGGAATAATTGTATATGAAGTTGAAAAGACGTACGTTTTTGTGTTGTTGATTTTGTTAAAATGTTGCGATTTCAAATGTTACAACAGTTTCTTGGAATTTTTTAGCATCTATACATCTGATTTACACCTCTTCTAGAACATGTAGAATATATTGTTGAACAGTGCTCTTGGAGTTCCACTGCTGTTAATATCTTAGTGAGAAGAAAAGAAAGAGGCTTGGTAGAACATTTACTTGCACCCGTTATATGTATCTTTGTTTGAAAGGATTTTTATGAAGTTTCGGAATCCAATTTAGATATGGTAATTCAATCATTTTTGTTGTTTGGGATATCAAAAATATTCAAAATTGTCATGATTTTGAAGAATTTCCTCCTCAATCGCTTAATTCGAGATTTTATAAAACATCTGATACATTTAATTTATTCTGACACAAAGCATCAAGTTCTTAATTTTCATGTCTGGTCAATCACCTGACGTAATCTTTCTGACACATAAGACTTATCGAAAGATAGTGCTTCTTTTAATGTTGGCCTTTTTAAATTAAATGATTTCAGGTCTTCATTGTTAACTACGTGTACATGTACGTATTAACGTCGCCATTAATGACGTGTCCAGCAGGACTATATAGTTGTAGGCATCCTCGCAGTGCCAGGGGTCCTTTGTCAACACATTGCTGTCGGACCCCTGGCATGGCGAGGATGAGTTGTAGGGTGAAGAAGAACATGAACACGAAGGGGGATTATGTTTCAGGTATATATTCTATATCTAGGCTCGTTAAGATTTACTTGTAATTAAAAAGTTTGGAAGCAATGGTCAATTTGAATGTGTATTTGTAAGAAATACAAGGTGTTCAACTTCAAATATAGTGTAATCAAGAATTGGACCCTTTTGTGCTTAAAAAAATATTACTAATATATTCATTATTTGTTATCATTTAATCAATACATATATAATGTGGTGAAATAAAAGAAAAAGATAAATGAAATATCACTAAACATTACAAAGAATTGATAATTTTTATCATGTTTATGGTCTCTGTGTCTTATCCAAATCCCTTTGAAAAGTGAAAATTTGTTAAACAGTCTCAGGATCATTTTAACGTCTGTGTAATGTACAATTTTGTACAAAATAACTCATCTAACTATTTTTCATTTTGTTTAAATATCATAAAGAAATTGGACGTATAAGGCGTAGACAATCCCGCGCTCTGAGACAATATATATTATGTTTCTTAATTTTCAAAATTCATGGAAAAGTTTTTTTTTTTAAATATGCTCTCAGTAATGTCCTCTTCATAACATTTTATTACTTTATTTTACTGAACGACTTATCATTTGACAATCTTTATTTCAAAGTTAGTGGAAAAGGGTTAACTAGTGCCATGAAAAAATGAATTTTGAACATGAATGAATCAAGTCTCCATTCTTCGTTAACGCTTAAATGATGGAAACGTAATTCTATTTCATTTGTCCCGAAAATGGAATCTGAACCCATTAATAAGAAAATCGAACATTTCAGAAAAAATACACCCTTCAACAAATATGTTCATTTAAATCACACTAACAGACAACGGTAATATAATTCATATACTTCGTAGCGTAGTGGTTAACGCGATGGGTCTTGTATGTGCCAAATCCTGCGCTATGGAGAGAGTTGGAATCATACGTGGAGCTTTTACTTTTTAGACGGAGGCTGTATGACAGCCTCCGTGTATTGTGAATGTCTTGCCCATGACGTAAATAATGAGGATTCACCAAGCACCATCTATCGGTGGAATTGTTTTCATTACCTTGGGAATTCTATTTTTAGAGCGACTCTGAGTTTCACTGGTACACCGGCCGCCAGGATAGGCATAGTCTAAAGTAAGGATCGCGTCACATACAAGTATAAACAAACAGTTCTACTTTTTCTAAATAAACAGGATTTGTCGAATATATTTAAAATGACGTGTATATACATACATTTCCTACGGAATATGTAAAAAAAATGTGATTTACTGTTAATTTCTTATCAGACAGAATATAAGGAGATTTTGTTCCAACAGACGATGATAAAGCGCGTTTTACAATATGCCGAGCCTTTTCCCACCGATTCTCACACCAAAACAAGAACGAGAAGAAATGTAGTGGCGGATCTAGAGGGAGTTTGGGGGGTTTTAACATCCGCGGAGAGTGATCGAGGAGCCCCACTTATCAATTGCTTCTTTTATTAAAGGAAAAACTATCTCTAGTTACAGATAAGTTTAAACTTGAGTTTTATATTTAATTGTAAAAACTTCCACCAGAATTCGCTTGTATCAAACTGAGTGTGAAGACGCAGATGACTATGTAATGTACCTGTATTATGTATTGAAGAAAATCCTGCAATGTCGCATGCAAATGTTTTATGTCACAGGGATAAATATAACATATTTTAATAATAGATCAAGCATTTCAGTTTCAATGGAATTTTTTGTGC